CAGGATACGTGACACATCTGCCGATGGTGTTTTTCACTTGGCGATTTTAGCTTTACTCAACACTCGGCAAACCTTGATTGTTTTTCACTAGTGCCCGTCAAGGCTACCGGTAAGTCAAAAACGACTTCTATACAAATTTTATTGAGGAAAAATTCCTAAACTTTTAGCTACTCGGAATTAAATTTACTTTTCTTACTGTTTTTAATCGGCTTTCATCGTTTCAATGCGCTTCAATTTTCGGAGCCGGGCTCTTCCTAATTTGCATAATCCGTAATCGGCCCGTGGGCATTACGGCTGCATAATGACCGCTCAGATCTCGCTCTTAGCCAATCAGAGCTCGCGTTATATCGGCCACAAGCCAAAGCCATATAATAAAATCTAATATTCATCTCCATATATACTAAATTAACTATAAATAAAATGCCCCTTTTAAAACATACGTCTTAAGAGACTTTTTAAATGTAAAAACAGTTGAGAAGTTTCTTACTGAAAAAGGGAGCTTATTCCACAACTTCAAAAGAACGATCCCCCAGTGTAGTAGATGTCTTGCACTTGGCATTATCTAATAATTAGTGATTACCTGAGCAAAGCCTATACCTGCTAGGCATCTTTAATTTAATTAAATCTATGATATAATTGGGAGCAAGGCTATGTACTGCCTTTAACATAATTAAAAGTATCTTAAACTCATGACATTTTGTGAACATCTAATTGAAAGATAATTAAGAATACAAAGTGTAGCACTATAAGAGTCACATCTTTGCACAGATATGTACATTAATACTCGTGTTACAGGAATATATTGGTTTTTGTGTGCAGACTTTCTATTGTAAAAATTAATTACAATCTGGTAATGATTGGTGGAAATATTTAAAGCACTACTGCAACGAAAATTTTGTATGTCTTTCTCAGTTGTTCTTCTGTTAATTTCACATTCGGACCCTACATTACACTACATTACATTACACTACACTACACTACATTACACTACACTACATGACATTACACTACATAACATTACATTACACTACATGGAATCGGTGTAACTTTTTCCAACCTGGGTACACAAATTCCCTAAAACAAGCATCATAAAGCCGTAAGAATCATGTCTTACATTACTCAAACAACAAAACTGAAGAGCCTGTGAAATCACTAAAGCAGGTTTCTCTGTGAACAAGTTACAACGTGTGATATATACAGCTAAACAAATCTGTAGTGTTCGTACTTCCACTCTGCATTTTAAAGTAGCCATGTTTTGGGGATTTTGATGCAAAACATGTGACCATGAAGTCAGTTCGCTTTTCAACCCAATCCTCCTTTTAACTCAGCTTTTCAATTTGAGTGATGGCAGACCGTTTGAGCACAAAGTTACAGTCCAGTTTGTTGGACTTCTCTTTGCAATTTGGGTGATGTAGTCTTTATATCCAGAGTGGTTAGAAAAAGTATTTTTGATGGCAGTAGTTCTTCAAATGCACACTTTCTATGGAGAAGTGCCCCTTCCTTATCTTAAGTTTGAAAAAGCACTCTGGGTGCTTACTAAGTAAGTCTAGTGAGTCTGGTACCAGTTTTAATTTTACCATGTTAATCACTTTTTCAGGGTATTGTGAATGTTGCATCAGTATCCCTGCAAATTGGTTATCCAACTGTGGCTTCAGTACCTCATTCAATCATCAATGGCTTCAAGGTGTGTAATTTTCCAAATTAATTGTGAACCATGTTCCTAAGAATGCCCAAGATTAAGAGTGTTAATACAATATATAATTAACATGCAAAACAAAATTCGGACAAACTTTTGTGTAAACATTGACCCAGGATTGGTTTTCCATTCTTTTTTCCATTTCCATTAATGCTTTCCATTGTTTAGACGTGATGAATCATTAATGAGTTTGAGAAGTTCATTTGATGATTGTACGACATTTTTGTGCTTCAGTAAGTGATCCATAAGGTGGCTTGTTTTGATGGATTATAACAGCCAACTTCTAACTTTTTTGAAAAATGTTCCAAGATGTTTTTCCTTTGTCTATTTACTGCTTGCTTAAGTCTTTTATCATTGTTTGTGAAACTTGAACAATTAAACGTTAACAAATGGCCAAAATGAACGACCGAGTACCTAAGGAGAGACTGGGCACTAGCAGGTTAAATCACGTTTTTCTCAAAATCTACCCTTACGACCCCACCTCAAATTTCAGGAATAAGAAATTGGCTCTGATTTAACGTTCATGCAAAGTAAAATAAAAATCTGTAAGACAGATTTTTCGCAAATGAAACTAAGAAAATGTGAAATCAAAAATAGCTAACAATCGGTCTTACAGATTTTTTTAAAATTTTGGCTCTAAACGTGATTCACCCCTACAAATCAACTGTGAAAATTTCATCATGGGTTTTTCGGTAGGTTTTCGAGGTATACTCGATCAAAGACTGAATTTTACAACCTTGGACGAGAATTGAATTGCGCATACCCTTTATTTAAGCGCGCGCTTCGTATACCGAAGTGATTTAACGCCTTTCAAAAGCTGAAGTGGTTTTTGTTTCTGCTTAGGGTTACTTGCGTCATTTTTGCACGCGCGATTAATTCTGACGTCTGACAGGCAATCATAGCGCGCGCTACTGAGTCTCCGAAAAACTGTAGTAAGCCAGCTTAAGCCCAACCATCTCTTGCAATCGTTTTGAAAACAACCTCTTCTCAAATGACTCCACTGAAAAGTCTTTTGAACAAAAGTAATTCCAAGCTTTTATTATCGAAAATTTACAATCAGTTTATTGGCGTTCATTAATGATCAGGCAGTTCCTTAGTACTTTTTTTGTTTTCATTTCAGAATGTTGCTGCTGTTGCTGTTGAAACTAACATAACCTTCCCACAAGTTGAACAGGTAAAGGCCGATTACAATCGGTATTTTGTTACAATTGTACAATTTGATCTTGGTTTTTTCACTTTTTGGTGGTAAAATAGCCATATTTTAAGTTTGCTTTCTGAAAAATAACCTGTCGTGAGCTGTTTGTAAATCTATTTTAAGTTTTTACAGGAGAGTAAGTTAACCTATTATTTGTTGTTAGCTCAAAGCTTTCCTGGAGAATCCTGAAGCATTCGCCGCTCTGGCTCCTGCGGTCAGCTCAGATGATGCTGCTGTCGCCGCTGCAGAAGACACCAAGGAGGAGAAGAAGGAGGAAGAAGAGGAAGAGGAGAGTGATGATGATATGGGATTTGGACTGTTTGACTAGGCAACAGGAAACCAGCACTCAATAAAAAAATGTTTGAAAATACGTTTCTCTTTTTTTGTATTTTATTGTTTTTATTTGTAAGTTGTGCAAGGGACAAGCAAAGAGGTACTATAATGCTAGTTTTACAATTTTACATTAAAAAGGGATACACACACAAAAAAATAAGAGAAAGGGAGGTAAAGAAGCCTATTACAATGTAAATAGATCTCTACATACACCATCACAA